GCAGGAACTTCTAATCCTGCATGCTTTACTCATCTGTTGTTTAAAGGTGGTGGCTGCTTTTGCTTCAGAAAGGAAACAGCAATTTCTCATGAGGCTTCACAGATCTGTAACATCAAGATCAACATGTTTCATTACTTTTTTGTGCCAATGCTACTGTTTAAAATGTTGAATCAGATTGGTCCCAAAACTCATCCCTACAGATCCAGAAATAATCTTGCTTCAGCTTGGCATTTTCCTTTGCAGCAGTGTCAGTTTTAAAAATATACAGTGCTTCATTTTCCTAACACTAACAGATAAATATTGATAGATTTTATTAATTAAATTGATTTTGCAGTGCAATTATAATATCAAGGAAATGATCAGAGAAGGATGAAAATTCAGATGCTGACCAACACTATATGGAAAAGTGTTGAGATGGAGGATGACAGATCACCAAAAGGAAAAAAGATTTTATGAGACCTCAAACTTTGTGAAGAGAATTAGAATAAAATTAGAGCAGAAAAATACTTAGCAGATGAATGGTTCTAACCCCTGATGAGAGGAGTGATGCATTACTGGAAATGAGAGGGAACAGCTCTTCTAGCTGCTCCTCTTTCAGTAGAATAACCAGCTCCTGGCACATTTCTCAAAATTAGTATTGCTCAGAAGATGTTCAAATATATTCACTTCAGTCTCTAAGCAGTCTGTGCATGCTTTTATTGCCTTGTTCTCCTTATTTTCCCAACAAAGCAGAGGGCAAGCCAGGAAAAAAAAAAAAAAAAAAGAAAAAAAGACACCCCAGCTTTACCTTGAAGATTTAGCAGCATCTGAATTCACATGAGAAAAAGTTTTTCTTTCCTCAAGTACCTCTAGGCTGCTATATCAAACTGCAGAAGCTGTCAAAGCCAGCTAAACTACAGTAAGCATTTCAAGGGAATCATGTTTATACACACAATCTTTTATACAGGTATAAACCAAGGAGGAAAAATATATCTATTACACATGTATATACACACAGGTGTCTACTTTTGGGAATAACAGTGAGAAGGGAGTTGAAATAGTGATATAGCTTGCCAAAACATTATCTCAAAATGAAAATAGTATTTTAATCCCAAAGGCAACAATCTATACAGATCTTCTTCAAGAAAATAGGGTGGGTCTTTTAGGTTCAGACCAACTTTTTTGTCTCTTGAAAAATAACAACTGTAAGTCTTTTTGAACTGAAAGATTTGCTGGATAAACCCAGACGTCAAATTACTATGCACAAAAAGATACATTCTGTTTAAGCAGTTACGTTAAAAGTATAAAACTCTAGATGAGTCTAAACTTTTAATGAAAGACAGCATGGTTTTCCTCCTGTAAAACAACTACATGGGAGATCTTCCCCAACAGCACAGTTTAAGCTGAAGAAAAAATTTACCTAGGAAATAATTTACAGACTAATATCAAAGAGAAGTATTAATTAAGGATGGCCCTTGCAATTTGATCTGTGTTTCCTAATTTTGGTTAATTTCCTCTCTTGAAAAAACATTTGTGGCCATGTCTCTCTAATTTTTCTTCTGTCATCACTAAAATATTTTCGTCAGAGGAGAAGTAATTGACTGACATCTCATGTCAGGCTGCTTCACATGACTGTTTTATAGGCACACCTGGAAAACAGTCTTCCAAAGGGTGGGTTAGAAAACCATGTTCACAAATTAAGTTTAGTATCTCTACTAATCAGAAGGATGAATGGAGTGAGGGTTCAATGCAGAACCGGTTAATGTTCTCGTTAATGATCTGGATGATAGCAATGAAGAATGAAATTACTACCTTCAACCAGAATACCAAATTGAGGAAGAATGAACCTTCAAAATAATCTTGACAAACTAGGGAAATCCGCTATAAAAATGCTGATTCCAACCAGTCAATACAGTTAAATTTCAGCTACTAAACCCATATAAAACAGTCAGCTGCACAAACACAGAACAGAAAAACTAGTGACTACCCACTAACTCTGAACAGAGGAATCCAAGCACTATGGTGGATCACAGCATGAATATAAACTAGCAGATGCTACATCATTGTGAAACAGGTGAACATGACAGTAGATGTATGAAGAGAAGCTCTGCCTGTTGACTCACAAGGGAAACCTGGTCTGTAAGGCTTGGAAAACCCCTGCAGCAGGAACTCCATCAGCATGGAGGGAGAGCAAAGATCCCAGCTTTTCTTGGACAAATAAATTATTTATTTTGACAATAAAGTGTATTGTGTCCACTTTTTGTGGACAAATATGCATCATAAAGAAGTTTCACTGATTTTCTGCAGCTCTTGCAATACTACCCTCTGCTCTCATAAATAATTTGTGCTCATTTTGGTAGTCAAAAAGTCTTAAAAGTCAACTGGAAAATGGAACTTTATCAGCAGAAAAACAATGGTTTCTCATATAAACTTTCCAAAAAAAAGCATTTCCTTAACACTTCTTACATGGTTGTGGAGACTGGCATAAGTAAGCAGGTGTTGAGGGGAGAGGATGTGTTCCTGTGTATACAAACAGTCTCAGATGACTGGAAACTGGCTCCATAACATGGCTACCTACATAGATAACCCACCTGTGATCACACAGTCCAAAGTATGTATCTACCATAATTTTCTGCTCAACTCCTGACTTGATTCTATAAACATCAAAAAAAGAGCAAAGAATAAACATTCAGACAGACTTTACTATATCTGCCAATTGTATGTAACATTTCCTATTGATATAACAATATTTTACTATTAGAAACAAACAGTTTCTTAAAAACAGATTTTTGCAGGATGTTGAGATCCATTTACTTTCATTTTCTGCTGCAAGCACAAACTAAGCTCTTGTGTTTCAGGTTAAGTCATGGAACATTTTCACATTAAAACTGAAACTATATACAAGCTTTTGCTGAAAGCATTGTCAGATCAGCACTGGAAGATTTTAAATCAGGCAATGTCTATGAATGGGTGTATGAATAGGTCTTTTGTGGTCCTGTCATTTCTCAGGCACAAAGGCTTTGTAGCAAGCAAAATATTTTGGCCATCCATGTTTTTACTCTGTGATTTATAACATTGTCCCAAAGCCCTTTGTGAATTTAAAATGCTGTGACCATGTTTTTCAGAAAGGAATGCTTAAATATAATATTCCCAGAGCCTCATGTAGGTTCTTAAATGAGGCCTCAATCCTGCAAATGCTGGCAAGGACGCCTTCAGTTAAATGCAGGATTGAATTTTGGCAGAATCAGGGCCTATATCAGCTGCCATTTAAAAAATACCACATAGCTTCCAAGGACCATTGCAAGCCACAGAGCACATAAGCAGGACTATGTTGCCTAGTCCTGCTGACTTCAATGGGACTACTCACATGCTTAAAACCCTTGCTGGATCACATTGTTTGTGAGAAAGAAGAACTGGCCTCCTCTGCCCTAAATGAGAATTGATTCAGGGGCTTAAAACTGTGAAACAGAAACCTGACATGCATGCTTAGTTCAGTAAACTTGATTTTGACTGCTGAAGGCAAATACAAGTTGCCAAGTTTTTCTTCAATGAAGCCTTAAATCTAAATGAATACATCAGTTTGGAGCAGGAAAAGGTAATGCATCAACAAACATTGCAAATTAGTCCCTATATTTATAAATTGTCTAAGTAAATAACACAAAAACTGATGTATTTTTAGAATGCATTTTATTTGTTTTTTAGAAATCATCTCAAGAAAAAGTGTCAAAAATTACATTTTTAAAGGCTATGGATTTCTACAGAAAGTTAAAATAGAGTAAATATTGACTTTATAAGCAATTTACTTCCAAAAGCAAGAATACTTAATAATGCATAATGCCACAGAGAACCTGCATTAAAAAATGAAACAACATTTCTTTGGATGTCTCATGTCAGAAGATAACATTTGAAACTCACAGTTTAGGAAGCTGTATCAATCAAAGTTTAAGATGATTTAGCTAGACCATATCTAAGGTGAGCTTCTCTAGAAAGGAAGTGTAGACAAGGTGAGTACAGTGCTAGCTTTAATCTTCTTTATGTCTGACTTAATTTCTGGGGTCATCTGGAAATCAGTTTATCCCAGACACAATCAGCAGCCAGAGACTGTGAGGGTGTAAAAATGCTGCCATGGTTCTCTCGTTTCCAATCTATACATGATAAAAGATCTTCACAGAGACTAAACTGATTTGAAGGCCTTCACCAATCAAGCCTAGCAGGCCAGGGGTCTACAACAATGGAGACAAGTGCAATGCAAGGGTATTAGAGCAACATGTCATCCAGTGCTAGCTCAGAGTAAAGGTTCTGGCTCAGGGTCTATAACAAAACCTTTTAGTTTTATAACTCATCTCTATTAGAAGTGTCAGTCTCTCAGTTTCTCAGCCAACATGCAGCTAGATGTCACCAAAGAGGTCCTCTGGCTCACAAGTGTTTTCCAATGTTTCAAGAGACATCACATCCAGCGACTGCTTGCCTGATGTCTTCTGTGAGGCTACATCAGGTCTGAAAATACAAAGTAAAGCGATTTGAAACAAACTTAGATATAGATATAAACAATTCCAACATACACACCACCACGGTAACCATTTAATAGTGAATTCTGAGCTTTTTGTTAAGGTTACACATACGAGAAAAGTGGTTTTGTAAGACCTCATTACTTGCTGAGATGGCAATGGCAAAACGAACAGATGAAATTCAGCTTATAAATGTCAAGGCTTCGGCTATTTTGTTACAATTTTTAGGACCTTGAGAATGAACATTTCACCCACAATTTCCATATGGAGAGCTAGGGAGAGAGAAAAAACACTGAAAATATTCAAGGGGCCTGCTCTTCTACTACTGCACAGAATGATGTTCTGTTAACTGTTCTTTATTTTTTTCCTGGAGCTCAGCATGTGTCTGTTGTCCATCAGTCTGACATGGAGGAATATGAAGAATGAGACTGAGTTAAAAGTCCACATCCCAAAGATGCAAGCTTCTCCCCAAACAGTAGAGCAGAAGAAAATAAAGGCAAATAAAGAAAAACCTTCCATAATGCATAAATCCAGGTATTTGAGGACTTTCACATCACTTGCCTTCCCTCCATACATATGCTATGCTTACATTTGCTATGAATATATGCAAATAGAAGCACTCACCATTCACCAATACTTGTATGCTAAGGTGCAGGTTTTCCCTCAGACACCACAGTGTCCTACCTGAAAACTTCATGCCCGAATTGGACATCCATGACATGAACTAACATGCTTCTCTGTATCAGTCAGTCCTATTTATCACTCTTTTACTGTCCTCATCAACACAGGTAATCTAAATGTCTCTGAGCTACACATGTTCACTGTTTCTCCTCTCTGAGATTATGCTCTGGTAAAGACATCTCTGTGCCTCTGCCTCTGGAGGTGAGGTATATTGTGTTTTCAAAAATTGGCATTTGCAACAGCTTCCCATCCCTTTAGGAATTATTCTCATATGTATAGGCTGAATCCATTGAAATTTTTCAGTCCTGCACAGACAACTTTACTGCTGCGAGCTTTAAAAGGAGAATCATTGATCACAGATTTGGGTGTCTTTGCTAAGAAGATATTAAAAGTTTGAAAACAAGATGTAACCTCTTAGTCTTGGCTCATATGTTGTAGGGAATCAGGGTAGGAAGTAAGGAGTAGACCTGGTGTGTTTGTATTGTAGGAGTTTGGACCAGTTGGAATTTCATATGGGTTGATGGCTTCATGCCCAGGTGTATTCCACTGGTGTAATCTGCCAGAAGGTGAAAAACTCATGCATTACCAAGGCCAACACATCAGCCACCAGGATGGGAAGAATGTGACAGAAATTATGGAAAGTGTTTCTCTCAAATACTGCCATATGAGGGCTTAGTGCAATGAAGCATGCAAAAAACAATCTTAATTTTCAGACTAATTCAAGCATTTGCCTTCAACTGCTCCACACTGTAGAGCAAATATAGTTAATGAAACATTTTTCCTTTTAAAAAATTGTTTTCAAACTGATTTAGAACCAAGTTTTCCAGAACCCCTACCTAGAAATCTCTAGAAAGATGAATGTTTTTATAAAACAATTTGATCTTCAAACTGCAATGACCTTCCTAAGACCCCAGCCACTATATGATTCAGAGCCTCTGACACTTCCACTTTGTCAAGTCTTTGAAAGTTCAGAGCTCTCAGTACAATGTTTCCTCCTGTGGACTTGCGGAATGATTTTCATCTTGAGGTGGAGCCCCCCATGCTCATGGAGAATCAGTAAAAACCCAGTAAAGGCTGAGTCTTGGATGCTGTCACTTTCTAAGTGCTCTCCAGTATTCAGAAAGATTTCCTCACTACCCTGTCACTCCAGTTCTGCAAACCACTTTAAATTAAATGTACTGGTATATTCAGATTATGATAGTTACTTTTGCTGGAAGACTAATGAGTTTTCCCTGCAAATTCTTCCAAAATGCTTTCCTTCAGGTTGAAATAAATTGCAGCCTTGTTTGTTTGGATTTGTTTTTTGTTTGTTTTTTTTTTTTGGTAATTGTTTAGTTTGTCTTTTTGTAATTGTTTTGTTTATTTGTTTTTGTGTGTGGGTTGTGTTTTTTTTTCCTTTTGGTATTCAGTGACAACTAAACAGATGTATGTCTCTTCAAAAGCTTCTTGGACTGACTATGAAACAAACTGGCCAGAAATTGGCCAGCTGGACTTTTAGTCAGCAACCTCTGGTTAGCAAGATCACTCCATGCTATTGTGATTGCTAGCAATCAACTTATTGGTACCTTAATTTTTTTAAAAACATAGGTATCATACCTCAACACAGTGTGATGCTTAAGTGTACCTATTGAAGATGAGTTCTTCTACCTTTCTAGGTCTGCCTAAAGCATTAATTCTCCAGTGGGAATATATGTAAATCACACAGTGTGGAGCCACACACTGATCATTTTAATTAATTCTGAAGGGTCTCATCAGCAAATAAATTAGATTGAGAAGACATCTGTACCACCATAGTACATTTCAGGTACCAAACATTTTTTATAGAGTGGCTCCTACGCCATATAACCAAACAGGACTAGGCATGTGAGACTATAAGACTCCTGAGATACCACATTTGTTAACTTTGAGGTGTTGCCTCTTCCAGCATTTTCTGATTTTGAACAGTAAGCCTCACAGCATTTAAGCAATATCAACAATTTTATCCTCTTTGGCTAAAATAACTGTTTTCAACACTATACATGAGATCACATCTATAAGGCAAATCACTGCTGAATTTTAACATTACACAGCTAGAACTATTAAGCTTCTGTATTCTAGTAACAACACAGTCCTCATTTAGCCTCCAAAAGCTGTGAATAAATTCACACCATTCCTGTGAACAAACCCAACTACGCTTGCAAAGTGGAAGCAGTAAGGTCTTTACACAAAGTTAATTAGCAACTTAATTTTTGTTTTAAGACTTGATTATTCCTGTTTGCATGGCAATTATTCACTGAACGCCAACAGCTTGCTTTGTGCAGTGAAATTATTTTGAATCTTGGGTTCTCACTGAAGCTGTATTACCATATCCCAATGCATAATTGAGTTAATATTGTTAAATTGCAGAGCTGTATAGTCCTCTCTTGCCAAAAAGCCTGTAAATAAGGCATTCTTCTTGTAAGTTTATTCTTCTGTTGGATCACTTTTTGAAGTCTTGCCTTTTGGTAAACTTAAACTCCATTAGCACATCTGGAGAACTGCTGACTATAAGAGATCATTTCATATTTCCTGACATTTAATTCAAGCCCTTCATAATTTGAGACAGAAGACCAGATTCACAGCTGGTGTGAATCACTGGAGCACTAATAATGTCAGCGGAGCTCTGCTGACTTACACCAGCTGAGATTCTGGCCCAATATTTGGAAGAAAGTGGTTACATTACTCGGTATTTCTTTCCACAGCTGAGTAAGAGCCATAGGAAACAGAAGACATGCAACACTTTAGTACTTAACTAAACAGCACGGAAACTCAAAGCCATACAAAGTGATGGCTTTGCATAGCTGGGAAGAAAACACAACAACTTTTTTTTTTTTTTTTTTTTTTTCAGGACAGATGGACCACTCCCATTAGTTTCTTGTGTTGAAGTATTCTTGATTTCACACAGACACCATATGAGACCTGCACAACATCTCTCCTGATGCAACAAATGGACAGTTCCACAAGACAGCATTTGTGAAGCATTATGAAGTAGAAAATAATGTGTGACTGCTGCAAATGACACAAAAAGTGTTTGCCAGTGGCAAAAAGATCAAGCAAGTTGTAGCTGTGCTACAGGTGAATCAGATCACAGGCTGCAACATCAGCACAACTTCTCATCCTGAAGTACTTCTTGCTGGAAAGATGAAAGGTTCTTGCACTTAACTTTGCTTGTATAGCCAGCCCAGCACATTGTGGTTATGATTTTACTCTAGTTTTTATTCAACTTTATTCTCCAGCAGCTCTCATGGGATTTGAAAAAAGAAATAGCCTTGCAAATTAACATAGCTAAAAAAATTTCAGAAGAAGTTTAAGTTATCTAGGAGGCAGACTCATGTCCTTGGACCATTACATTATTTGTCTTATTTTTTAGTAATTAAGGTAAGCAGTTCCAATGAAAAACTGACATTTTTTCATTGAGAGATTGCAGCTTTCCCAGATGTGTAGCAGTATTTTAGGAAAAGGCTGGATTTCTCACTGTGTATATCTTTCCTCCGCTCAGTTTAACAGTTATTTTTTGTTATTAATCTGAAAAAACAAAGGTTTAATATCAGATGTAGATATCAAGAGAGGATATAATCAGATACATACTTTCCTTGGTACCATAAAAATACATGGCAACAGCAGCTCATAAACAGAGACTTGGTAGTTATTACCGCATTAACATAGGAACACAGGTGAGGCACCTCAAACACTAATGAACGCGTTGTGATCAGCAGGGCAAAAACTTAGAGCAACATTTGTTCTCCAGAGATGTTACCTTTCATCTACCTCGAGAGAAAAACTTGAATTCTTTGATTTATCAGCAATCTGCTGTCCTGGCTGCATAAACATAATCTCCACAGAAAGTCCTCAGAAGCAAGGTACTCATCAGCCTCATAATTAAGGAAGGATTATGAAAGGAGCTTTGAGTAAAGCTCATGGCTCTACATAAAACCTTGGCCTTGAGTAACCAGTGCCCTGAGGTGTGAGCTCTTGGGAGACATCATACTGACTGCTTGTGGCTGCTGGCCAAAAAGAGGGAAGTTCAACCATGAAAGGAAAAGAAATGGTGTAATGGAGGAGGGGGAAAAGCCTCTTACATGAACTGATGCATCAAGAACACTATGTACAGACAGACTTTAAAGTTGAATATTAGAAACATTAAGTAGACTAAATTCAAGTGACATGATTAAATATGCAATGACATTCCCCTTTAAAGAAACGCTGCAATGACTATAAAATAAGGTAAATGATAAAGCTATTTTTCGTTTTAATTCAATTTAAAATTGAAAATGTAACTCAACAATTTGG